CCCCTCTCTTTTTCTTTCTTTTAAGTGATTTGCCCCCTGTATTCACCTCAGATTTGTTCCAGGATGGAACGGGAGGTCTGGGAATCTCATCGATTATACTCGTCGGACAAAGTGAGAACAATCTGACTCGGCTCGACAAGAGCGCCGAAGCACACATCTGGTGCAATCGTAGGCGACACGTCGCTCGAATGTGGAAAGCTACATTTTGGATTTGTAGGTTCGCAGGCCTGGGCAAGTTGGTTGAGGGGTCGGAGTCTCTGCCTGCGGCACACATTCGTCGTGGGTCGAGAGGGCTTGGGAGGGGAAATGGATGACTCGGAGCATGTGCTCGTTTACGATCTCGACGTGGTTCAGTGCTACAAGCCTTCTTTCTCAATGATTGTTGTAGGTGCGTCTGCCTTCTGTATCAGCATGCATGCTTTTTTTTTTTTTTTTTTTTTTTTTTTTAAAAACTTCGGAAGGCTCGTCTTGGGATTCAGCGAATCCATTCGGAGCGTCTAGCGCCCTGCGCTCGAGCAAGTTGCATGAGCTCGGCATCTCTGTGAACAGGCGCAATGCCATTTTGAGCTGGGAAGCTTAGCGGCAGCGGAATCGAGGTAGTGCGCAAACGCACCTTGAATTATCGTCGAGGACGCGATGAGAATCTCCTCCGATCGCCTCTCCGCATTCAGGACATGTCGCAACCTCCATTGCTTGCCCGCACTGATAGGATACAAGATTAGACAGGGGCCAGTCATTTGCACAATTCGATGATGAGCGAGCGAGCGAATTGCTTGCGGATGAGCTACTCACATCTCCAATCGTGAAAGAGTGCCCATTCGGACAGCGATAAAAGTGTCCGTCATCGGCGTACTCCAGTGCTTTGATGATCATCGCCTTTTCTGAGAGCGTGACTGGCCTGTAGCGCACGACTCCCTTCTCAAGCTCGACCAGCCACTCCGAGACGCTGAGGTGCATTGCTTGGAGCTCGCGAGACAAGATTTCGCCTTCTTCGCAGAGTGCCGGACTCGTCGTGGCCGCAAAAACCTCCCATGCGGCTTCTGCGCGCTCTCGGGCAGCGAGGAGCTTCTTGCGCGCTCTTTCGAGGCTTTCCTCCGAATTTGACTTGATCTTGGGAGCTGGTCCCTTTGTCGAATCACCTGCTCTGAAGCTGCTTGACATCGTCTTGTCCAGCTCGATCAAGAAGCGAGTATGCTCAAAATCGATGCGATAGAGCAGCAACTCGGCTCGCATTTCCAATCGTCCCGATTTGGCTCCGCGCGCTTTGCGTATGACCTTTTCGGCATCACACCCCGAGCTCTCGAGCATGAAGTGGACCTGTTGATGAAATCGCAAGGTAATATCAGCGACTGCGTGCTTGATGAGGTGAGCCTGAAAGGTTCAAAGGAGACATACCTGAAACTTCCACAGACGAGCTTCGCCAAAACGCTCCTTGTCAAGCATTTGCTGCAACGCGGTGGCGATGCGTAGCATGGCCACACGCGCATGCAACATCATGAGCATGGCCTCAATTTGGATTCGTGTGTCGGCCTGAGATCGAGGCATGGCTACGCATCGATGAGATTCCGCCAAAGCCTTTGCATCCGAGTTCGGATCGTCGTCGGAATATTTGGGACGCGCTTCCTGGTATGCCTTGCTCAAGGCTGCTTCGAATGCCTTTGATTGAAGACAAAAGATTTTAAAGGTCAGCGCACTGGTTCGTTGAATCTCATAGCCGGAACGCCTCTGCCGGACTCACGGTGACCAGTTGCGCTACACAACCAATGATTCATTACATAAGCAGGAGCTCGAAGTGGTGTCCTTGAGCCACGCGACTCACTTTTGCTTTCGCTGAGCTGCCGAGCCTTCTCGTAGAGGTGGCGCAGCTCGGTTGTAGCTCGCATCCACGGATAGTGGATATCGTAAGGCAGCTTGAAGGCCTTCGAATTTGTAAGATTGTGCGCAGTCATCAAGAGCGCTTCCGATTCCTGCTTAAGGCGATCGCGACAAATGGAGCGCAACGCGCGGGTTGTTGGCTGATCGATTTTGGGCGCCTTCACCCGCGGATCCCGAAGTTCGGACAAGAGAGAGGTGATCTTGTGGGCAACGTCGATAGAAGTCCAAAGCCTCTGGAGCTTCTCAAGCTCCTCACCGAGACGAGCAAGCGCTCGCCTCTCGTGCTTGTCCAGGCGTGAACGCGCGAGCGGTCGACCATACCTGGGTGACAGAATCTGTGCTCGACAGGTTGGGCATGTGGGACCGTTGCTGAAAGCGGAAGGCGGTTGACGTAAACCGTCCCATTGCCCATTTGTCGGATTCTGCGTGAAGTAAAGAAGCATCTCGCAGTGCCCATCGAGGGTCTCCACTGTGAAAGTATGGCCACAAGTGCTGAAAAGGTGGCCATGAGCTCAGTAAATTGCTCAGATGTCAGAGGATTATGTGCCGCCCGGACTGCACTCACAGAGTAATGATACGCTCGGACAAATCACTGACAGTGTGATTGAGATCCAAAAGCGCCCTCATACCGAGCAGATCCACAATTTGGTGTTTTTGGGAGTCCGATGAGCACGTTGGACAGAGCTGCTGAGCACAAGGTTCTCCGCAGACTGCGTTGCGAGCGGAGGTCAGCACTGCGGTACGCACATCAGCCGGTCGAATACATACCGGATGGACAAGAATGGCCACAGGCCAACAACTCGTCACAAGCTTCGTCACATGGCAATCGTCCACACGGCTGTCCGGGACGAGGACACGTCAGTGCTCGATGGATCCTGACTAGTCCACTAAGCCAGACTCACCGTGCCGCATGGCTCTGGACAAGCGCCCTGATGCTTGCAACTCCAGGCGCAAGGTTCCAAGCAGATGACGCACGGATCCGAGCACAGCGAATCGCAACGGCGATGTTCGCACGTCTGCGTGTCGCATCTCTCTTGACAAGGTCCACAACCTTTTTGTGTGTGGCTCGTGTTGCACTTTGCCCCGCACTTGTGTCGGCAGCTCTTGCGCTCTTTGCCGCATCGGTGTTCTGAGTGTGCCAGACGAGGCACGAGGTCAGGTGTCGTGCAATCGGACGTCTCGCTTGCGTCCTCCGTGCCTTGCTCGCTGTGGTCGTCGCGCTGCGTGGTGGGCGTAGAGAGTTGCTGGCAATCATGGCAGTCCGCCTCACAAGGACGGCCGCAACATATCAGAGTGATGCCGCAAGCGACAGTGCACTTCACTGCGGAGGCATCGACATGGCACGGAAGACGAGTCTGATGCTCGCAGTGAGTCATTTGCTTCTCTACCATGACGTGGCAGGTGTAAGTGCCGGACATCGCAGCATGACACGGCACGCGCTTGGCCTCGTGACCGCACGGCAAGGAGAGCGCGGCAATTTCGAAATCGCATTTTCTGATCGGCCAAAGCATAGCTCATCAGCAGCGGTGGGATCTCGCTGTCATCTTCACTCACCCGCAGTCTTGCCAGCATGCTTTGGAGCAGGGATGCTCACAGCCGGGCTGCAGCCTTCGGCAATCCGAAAGACAACGAACTTCGAAGTCCTGTCGTCAAGAAAGGGAAAGTCGTGTTCATTTAGGCCCCATTGTCTGCTGGCTCGAAGTCTAGCAGAAGAGATTGGAACTCACTTCGTGGCTTCGCGGGTGGCACTGTGAAGAATAGTGACAGGTCAGAAATGGCACTCAAATAGACCGGATCCAAGCCGGCAGCCGGGAACGAACCTTCAGAGGGCACACATGACCGCATTGAAGTTCCTTGCCACATGGTCTAGCGCAGCCTCCGTCGGGCGCCCAGTGGGCTATCTGCTCTGGGTCAGCTGCTAAGTAGTCTTCATCCGGATGCGAGACACACCGAAGCTGTTTGATTTGGAATGGCGTTAGTATGGCAACGAAGTCGAAAAGCGCTGTGTGGAACTCACCGGTAGGCCGGTGAGGATGCTGCCAGTGTTCTCGAATTTCTGGACGACTGTAGCCCAGAATTGGCTCTGCACTGCCATTTGCGTTGCGTTACCCATCACAATCATTGCATCACGCGCCCGCGAGAGAGCGACGTTAGCGCGATTGGTAGACTGGAGTCACAGAATAGGTAGAACAGTCATTGTAAATGTCGTAAATGGACAATTTTGTCTCTTCGAGTGACGTAGTCCTGACCGAGCTCACTTTGACAAAACCCGCGCTTCTAGACGAAAGCGCTGCTTCAAAACTGCTAAGGTCGCCTTCGTTACGGACCAATGAGATGATCACAATTTTGGCTTCCTCGCCTGGATGAATACGTTGCGTGCTTTCAGCAGAGCTCTTGACCGGCGGTGTGTCTTAAAGTAAATCAATCCACTTACCTTGAAACCGATCGACCGTACCGATGCGGACTGCCGTGCCAAGGGACATGTTCTTGACTTTCATCTCGTCATGCTGTAGGGTAGCACTGTCGGGTACAGCAGCAGCGGCGTGGAGTGCTGCTTCGTCTCGCTCGTCAACTCTGACAGAGATGTGTTCAGACGCGAGTCTTTCTCGCATGCGAACCAGCTGACCGAGGTAGGTTACCAGAATGCATATGTCCCCCGGCTTTGTGTACCCTTGGTTCAGCAAATGCCGGACAGTAGCGGCGGCCATCTCCACCTGAGTCAAAGTTGGTCTTTGAGTTAGCGTGAAATCCGTGAAGGCATACGAGGGTTACGAGCTCACTTCATAGGCGTTTGACTTGCTGGTCGAGTGTTGCATCGTTTCTTCTCGGTGGGTGTGATGCTGAGGTGAAAGAACACTATAGTGTGAGCTCATGGCGGTCCGATGCGAGAAGTCTGCGTTTGCATCTCCACGCACGATCCACATCACATTCTTGCCGAGCCCCTTGACATCAGGTCTGTCGAGCGTGGTGTCATGATCCTCCAAGTTCTCGTACAAGCCTCGGACGAGCTCAGAGATCTCCGGACGCATGCGACGCTGCACTTCCAGCCGTCTCATGGGAATTCGACACTCTGAGGCTAGCCGCTCCATTAGAGACAAGTCGAGGCGATAGGCTTGTCCGCCTCGCGCGTTCTCGACAGACAAGCCGAAATTGTTGACGTGAGGACGGAGCTGCATTGGATCGCCGATGAGCACGAGCTGCTCCATAGATCGAGTCAGGCAAGCGAGCACATGAGCCTCGAGCACCTCGCCCGCTTCTTCGACAACCAGCACCCGAGGCTTGATGCGCTGGACATGAGAAGGAACAGGAGTTGCGCATAAGATTTACCGTGACTCCTCGTTTCCTGAAGGCACCGTGCTCACCTCTAGAAGGCCACAGAGCTGTGCAGCGCCGGTCGTTGTGCATCCGATCACTTTGGCCTCTCGAGCAACTTGAAGGCGAGTCTGACAAAGTTGTCATAAACACTCAGCATCAGCGCAGGGCAACGAGCGCGACGCGAGCTGTGCTTACTTGATCTCTCAGCTCATTTATAGCTGCTTTGGCGGCTGTGAGCTGTTGTGCTGCGCGATCCATCTCGGGAATCGCGATTCTCATTAAATCGCCCTGCCAATGCTCTAGTAGCCTCTGTCGCTCGCCCTGACTGAATGTCCACAGTTCGGTGTCCGCGAGAAGCTCTTCCAAAGGACGCACCAGCGTGCTGGCTTGTGAAGCGCTGGAAGACGTGGAGGAACTGTCTGTGACGTCTGCATCCAGTGTCGGCATCACCGCGCGCTTGTCAGGCTCGGCGGACTCGTCGCTGTTCCAAAACCAGCCTACGTCCGAGCCGTCATCGCCGTCGTCACTGCCATTAGCCGCCTCGGAGTCGTCACTATCATACTTTGATTGTAACGCGCTCCACATGTTCGTCGCTGGCTTGTCGTTATCGTGGCCTCGCTGTAGAGGGACAGTCGAGGAGCTGAGAGCGCCAGCGTCGCTCGGAACACGTGTCGCTTGATCCGAACGTTCAAGATCTTGCAGCGAGGCCCAGTATGATAAAAGCGTCTCATCATACGAAGGCTTGTCGGCCCGCGACCAGGTCCGGTATTCCTCCCACAACTGAGCAATGTGGTCGGGTGGCTGTTGGATCGCGTGGAGTTGACGAGGGTAGTTGTCTTCAAGCAGCTCCTGGAGCAACTTGTAGTTCCAACTGACAAAACGAGGACGTGTTTGCGAAGGCGCGGGACAAGCGCTTCAATCGCGGCGACTTACTGAGTACGGCTTGCAACTTTCGCTGCATCCAGCATTGACTGCTCCGTTTCCTTTATGTTCTTGAAGGCCCTAGCGTACTCCCCACTCCGGGCCCTGGGTACGGCCTCGCAAAGCGTGTCCAAGTTAAATTGGCTGATTGTGTCGTGCTGTGATCGTGAACCAAGTCTTACAAGACTGCTGATGCCGTGGCCATGCAAGTCATTTAGGAATCGGTCCAGAGCATGATTGGTCACGCAAACCACCAAAATTGGCGAAATGCCGGAGTCTAGAAGCGTCGACAAGAGATGGACCCCTGTGTAGCTCTTTCCGGTGCCTAGAGACGGTTCAACGGGCACGCACGAGGTTGAACGTGAACTCCTGAAGCTTCGAACGGAGCTGAACAGCTGCCGACTCACCCGGCGGGCCTTGTATGAGAGACACTTGAGTGTCCAATGTCGATAGCAGGGCCGTCATCTGCGAAGCATCCAGCACGCCATCAGCCAATGGAGCTTGCTGACGGATGTTGCCTGGCTCCACGTGAAGATTAGGGGCATCCTGGGTCCCATCACTCGAGCCGTCCGTACTCGAATCCGTTTCTTCCGTCGTTTCGCTAGGCGCCTCGTCCAAATTCTCAGCAATGGCGGCGAGCAGCTTTAGGAAAGCCTGGTCTCGGGGCGGAGGTTTCTTCAAAAGCCCCGTGAGGTCAAACTTGAAGCCTGGGATGCGAGAGTAATTGGGTGGCTCCATTTCCACGTCTCGCAGTGAGCCAGCGGCTCGCGACGTGATGACTTCGCTGAAAGGGATGTCGCGTGCCTGATCAGCCAGTCTCTGCAGCGAGCGCAAGAAAGGTTCAACGGTGTTGAACAGAACTCCGGACACCTCCGCAAGGAGGCTGATGCCACGCAAATCTTCTCCGTGTCCAGCAGCGACCTTGAGCATTGCGTTGTCGAAGAAGTGCACGTCTATAGTCAGCGATCCATCTGCGCCGACGAAGCGATTGCACTGATTTCCCAGGTGAGAGACTACTGTGCCCAATTGCACCGTCATCTCAGCTTCTGAGTCGGCCAAGGCGACGTATGCCACCAATGCACCGAAGGTCAGCGCTGAGGAGAAGCGAACAAGTCATCAGCACGATTGCAAATCGAATGGCGCGCAACAATTTCTCATGCACTGACCGTGCCTAGTGATGGACTGCCAATATGCAACACTATCTTTACGATGCGCGTTTCTGATGTCGAGAGAGGCCGGTGCTGGCAGGACTATACCAACGGCCGGCCCCTGCTGCAAATGATGTGAGCAAGACGTGCGGCGCACACAACAGACGGATCCCAAAACTGACCTTTGCAGAGATGGAAATGTCGGAGAAAAATCACCTCGCCATCGCCATACAGACGCAGCGTCGCGCCGTCTTCAGGTCCACGGTACACACCACCGTGTGCTGCAAGAAGTCGCGAACACTCATTGTGCTCAGCGTTGCCTAGCAAAGTCTGCCTGAGGTCTTTGATGAGAATGGGCAATGTCTCTAGTAGGGGTCCCAAGAACTCATGTCGAAGAAGTCGGAATTGAGTGTCGATGCTGCCAGAGGGATCTAATAGCTGTCAGCGTAGCGTGGACGATAGGTAAGCTGCACGCATCGACTTACACTCGAGCCATGGAATTTTCCGGCAGATGGTGTGGCGCGCCAGCTACTGTCGAAGGCAGGAAGGGGGGAACATCACACTTGAGTTCTTGTGCCGTGGGCCCAATCTTGATGCGGGTGATATCCGCGTGATCGTTATCGTGGCGGGGACCCGCCTTGCGGAGCTCGCCCGGACCGGTGTTCTCCCAAGCGGCATGCAGCCAAGCCAACTGGCCTGTACTGATCGAAGGTACGTCGGTGACAAATTGGGGTCGCTGAGCATTTGCTGAAGGCTCTGGCACAACAGGTGTGAGCCGGGCCTGCAGACGCAAAAGTACGTCTTCTGCTTGCTTGACGCAGTATTGTTGTTCTTTGGTTGAGAGTGAAGAGAACAAATCTTCATCGAAGCCGCCTGTTTGCAGAATGTTGAGCCACTCCTTCAGCCACTTCAACAGAAAGGCGCAGAAGTTCCAAAGCACTTTGCGATGCAAGTCGGCTGCTTCGCTGAATATCTTCGTGTACCTGTGGGCGCATTGGATGCTCAACGAGCGACTTCAAGAGCGCTCGTTAAAAGCCTGAGCGTGCTGGACTCACTCTTCTAGCAGGATGCACGTCGGCCAAACAACTTGGAAGTGTGTGATCAAGTTGAAATTCCTCGGGTTACCGGGCGCCTTGAGCTGGCGTGCCTTCAATAGAGTTGACAAGTGGCACTGGATAGACTCCAGCATTGGGGCGAGGGAGAGCTCGACGATCCCCAGCAAGTGCGATCTGTTGACCGAAGTAGAGTCCAGGACTTGTTCGCTGCTTAAAAACTGTGATGGATTGATATAGCAAGGAATCAAGTCAAGCGCCAATCCATGCGCGAAACTCTAGCTCACTCACCAACAGTACTGGCACCATGATCTGCTGAAAAGACATTTTGGGCGACGCAAAGGATGTGGTGGTGGACTCGTGGTCCGCGATCAAAATCTTGCGGAGCGTAGATGCGCGAGAGCGGTTACGATCTGCCATGCGTCCGACCAATTCTGCTCGCGCAGAGTGGTCGGACTGGTGGGAAAGCCAAGCCTCACGGGAGAGTCAGCGAGGTATCCTTCGAACGGGTCGCTACCCTAGGCGAGGTACTACACACCCATGCGTTCATGGATACCAGCATGGAGCCCAGAACTTTGGCCTGATCGGGGTGATCGAAGTCGAAGGCCGGACGCAAAAAGGTGTTCAGCCGACGATGCACGTCTTCGGGGCTGATACCGCTGCGTGGAAACAAGACGTTGCTTCGTCTCGTGTGTAGCGTCTGCATTAGAACGCGTTGAAGTCGCGGCGGCTCAAAGCTGATCGGTTCGTTTCCCTCTGCGACCGCCTTCGTGCCCAGCATGGACACGGCGGTTGAGGGGCCCGGCGGAACGTTAGGGCGCCAGAAAAGAAGTGCGTCTGTTTTGTCCGAGCGAGCTGGCTCGTCAGAGGGTGCCTGCGCGTGGAAAAAATAGCATCGGTCACCATAGGGGCAGCCTGATGGTGACGAGTAGAGTCTGCAAGCGCGGGGAGTAAAACTCCATTTCGAGGAATGCGGAACAGCCTCAGCTTTCTTGTTAGCGAGGACACAGCGTGATCGCTCACTCACTTTTGCGACATTGACTCGTCAGAGGGTGCCTGTGCGTGCGAAAAATGGCATTGGTTACCATATGGGCAACCTGAAGGTGTCGAGTAGAGTCTGCAAGCGCGGAGACTAGGATCCCATTTTGAGGAGTGCGGAAGAGCCTCAGCTTCCTGAACCGTCAAGACACAGCATGATTGCTCACTCACCGTTGCGACATACTTGCAGCTCAACGACAGCGCTCAGGGCGCTGCCAGACGGTGATCGCTTTGCCTCGTACCTCTGACAAGAAGCGATGACGGTATTGTTCTGCGCGTACCGGATCCGGCGACCTATCGGTGCACAGGAAGTGCAGGTGAAGAACGAATGGTGGAAGAAGAGGATGAGAGAGAGGAATCGTTACTTCGCAGGTCGGCCTGACATATACGAGGGAAGCTGTCGGACGAGTCAAGATATCGAGCAGCTTGAGGTGCCAGAACCATCAGCAGTCATCTCGCAGACGCCTGCTCTTTAAGATATACTCTGTTGGGCGCCTCTCGCTCATCAACGACACTGCGAGAGTGGTGCGCTTGAATGCCCACGGCCCCGATTCTGTTCGAGTGGCTCGCCTGAATGCCACCTGCCCCAGGCCTGATCCATTCATTCGACAGCTTGCAGCAGATGGCGATCCGCGTCGTATCACGCGTGGCGACATGTAGACCGATGGACTTGAGACACTGTGTCTCTCCTGAGTCTGATGCGGCAATATGAATATTTTCTGACACGATCAGACACACGTTCGCCCTTCTCGTCTCGACTCGACGGCCAAGCGGCACTTCATCTTGAAGTTGACGTTCAAGCAGGTGTGAAATCGACCCGGCCCACAAGCCTTGGCGAACCCAAATTCTCAAGCTCCAATTCGAATTCGGCCCAGACAGCGAAGTATGGCGCGCAGCAGGACATCAATCAGATCCTGATTGGCTCGGCATTCACGAGTGTGGATGCGCAGACAGCACTCTTCTTTGGGGAGCAGCGGCAGCGGGCAAGGACGAGTCAGTAGACAGATGCCTCCGCAGTAGAGACATAGATGACTCACTTGACACCCATGCAACGTTGTTGATTCTGTCAGTCTGTTGGTGATCTACATCACCGTTTCCTCGTCTCAGCTACAGACGTGGCCATCTGTAGCAGCCGTGAAATTGAACCCATTGCCCTCACTCATTATCGAGCTGCGCTCGGCCAAGTGAGACTCTAGGCGCTTCTCTCATCGTGGCAGCATCTTGTCGCCCATGATGCAAAGGGACTTGAAGTCGAGACGACGAGGTCAACGAGCGTAAAGTTGCATTCACGAAGCCGGGTTCACGCGCTCAGAGCAAGCAGGCCCATGCGGCGCTTGTCTTGCTACCAATCGTCTGCCAGAACGACCCATCCGCCCTTCGATCTCTTTTCAAGCTCGCGTTTGCCTTTGCCTCTGCTGTTCCTTTTTCCTTTTGGATTTAGATTGCCGAGATCTGCCCAGATGGGTGCTCTATACGCGTAGATGGTCATCTGTCTTGGATCCAAATTTCCTAATATCTGTTCCTGATTGGCGCCCAGACCCGTGCTCCATCGCCCAGTAGCATGATGTCTGCACTCTCGTGCTTCACGGGCACGCTAATAGACTTGCGAAGGACCCCTGCAAGCACCTCGTGACTGATTCTCGATCGATTGATATTCACGATTGGTGGGTGCTCTTGAGTGCGTGCGTGCTTGCTTGCTCGCTGCGGGCTCCTGCTGGTCGAGAAAGACATTATCGACCAGCATGATGTGCCCACGCCTTCCGCACTGGTTGTTTTCTTTTTTTTTGCCTTCGGAGGCGAGGTGGGCAGCGTGTATGAGCCATCACATGGATATATGCCTCTTTTGAGCTCTGCTCAGCAGGCAGCAACGTCCGCACGTCCATCTCCTGTGAATACCGTACACGGCTTCATGCTGCAGTCACGAGTCACGTGAGTATATACGTACGCGCTAGCTGCTGCATGATCAACGCGGCCCCTCGTTTCAGCGCGGCAATTTGTTGCAGCAGGCTTGCCCGCTGCATGCGAACCCGAGACATCAGCGGCTGCTCATTCCAGCATGTGTCAGTGTACCGATGACTGCCTGCCGTCGGCTGGCTGTCACGGAAGAGCGTCAAGGGTGTTCCCGGTTCCGAACGCTAGCTCGCTGACAGCGATTTAGAAGGGCATGATTGAACTCAACAAAGGCTGATGAGTCGGCCTGATGCAGCAGATTGAGAGCCGTCTCCCACAGTCGCATCAGTGAGTGTGGAGTCGAAGCATAGTCAGTCTTGAGTCAGGTGACGCCGCGGCGATTTGAGGGGTCCGCGCGTGTGTGAGTTTATTAATTGTTGATGATAGTGATTGCAGCGTAACAGTAGAGTAGTAACGCGCGGTGGGGCCCTACCCTAATCGTTAGCGCGCCAAATGAGACGCTAAATTCAGCAACAAATTGCCTCTACATTCACGCGATTTCACGATTATTGGGGGTTTGCGTGCCCCCTTTTGCGCTAGCTTTCGCTCGATTCCGCTTTTCCTTCTCGTCGCGCCGCGCCGTGCCGTGCCGTGCCGTGCCGTGCCTCACCCGACGTGCACGCACGCATGCATGCGTAGCTTCGAGATCAGTCGGCAGCAGCAGCTAGAGAAAGGCCATTCAAGATTTACGATTTCTTGATTTGAGATTCATGTGCCATGCAGTCAAGAGTGGTGAGTCTGCTTGGCTAGCTTTCGTGCTGCACACACGCTAGTTGGAGCCGCGACCGTGGCTGGCTTAGATCAACGCCGCTGACCCCTCTCCTCTCCTCTCCTCTCTCACACTTTCCGCGCTTGATGAAGGCTCTGCAGATGCCGACTTATGATTCAAGTTGATTGCTGCTGTCTGCGCGCATTGCTCCATCTGCATGCCATGGGGGCTCATTCATGCACGGCTCTCCCCAGCTCGAGGGCACACCCATTCGCTCGAATCACAAAATCAACAATTTGAATTGAATGGTTCAGGAGCACATCTATACCGATACTTCATCGATCGTAATTCTTGATTGGCTTCAGTCGATGATTGTGTATAGTGGTAGACTGCCTGTCTGCGCCGGTGCGGTCAGCAGCACACTTGCCGCTGGTGCGCAACATCTATGATTGTAGACTCTTTTAACTTGCGAGTTGCCGGGGCCGCCTAACGAATGGACTCGCTCATCATGCACTCCTCCAGCAAGTCTCCAGCAAGCGTTTGGACACGAGCACCTGATCTCCGTATTTGCAGGCGCAGGCGCGAGCGGAAACGCGGCGTATGACGACATTTTGAGGGGGCCTGTGCTCGAGCGAGCAGAGTCACAATCACAACAATCTGCGATTCGTCAGTCGCAAGTCAGGAGTCAGGCGCACAAGGGATAGGAAAAGGGGGGGCTGGGGGGGGGGGGGACGAAATGAGCCATGCAACCACGAAATCGCGATTCAAGATTTTTGATACAGATTCTCAATCTTGAATTCGATAAGTCAAAAACAAATGAAAACAAAAGAGGCGCAAGTCAACACTTCAATGAGACAATTTTGAATCTGAATCTGAAAAAGACGCTTTGACTAGATCAAATCAAGAATATGGATGACGTGCTATGCCGAGACAAAAGAACGCGCGAGCTCGACGAACAAGTCTTGAGTAGGTACATGGGGTCGAGTCAAAAAAGATCTCGCATCAGCTATACAATAGTCTAGTAAATGATATTCTTGATTTATACTTATAGCTATAGCTATCAGTGTATGTATTTAGGAGACGAACAAGAGGGGCGCTAGCGCGGTCTCGGTGCATCCAAGACGCGTGGCATGGGCCTCTCTCTCGCTGCTTCATTTCAAGTCTTGGCAAGAGCGGGTCTGAATCAAGAGTTTGAATCCAACGGTCTCTTGAATCAAAATTTTGATTTTGATATATTTATGTATAGAAGACGGACTTTGAGGGCAGCCACTCGTGACTACTGACTACGCTTGCACTCACGTCACGACTCACTTACAAAAGACTCGATCGATCGAGACTCGCGACCCTCTTTCTTCTCCGCTGACTGACTGCACGCTGCTGATGATGGCTTGCAAGCTCCCCTTCAATTGACGGCTATAGCTGCAGCTAGACTATCTCGCATGCATCAGCTGAAACGAAATTCACATTGTGCTTGTTTGGATGCTGCCCGCTTATTGTGATTGTTTTCTCAGTCGAGTGATTCATTCCCTCGGCGCGAGTCGTTCGCGTTGCCCATGCAGATGCAGCATCATATATATGCTGCACTCTTTTGACTGACGGACTGCTCTCGTGACAGCGTCTTGACGGTGATGTACAGTATGTGTATGGCGTGTGTGTGGTCCATTTTAAACTCGTGACCGCATGACATGCAGCGCGTATGCATGCGCGCATGAGGACATCAGCAGCAGATGAGGTGTCGCGTACGTAGACCGCGCTCTCTGCAGCATGCGTGCAGTCAGTCACAGAGTCGCACGCAATAAGATACGCAGACGCGGCAGACGCGACTGCTGCTGCATGCTGGATGCTGCTGCTGCTGCTGCTGCTGCTGTACCGCCGCTATACCATAGCCGCGTTCGTGACCGACCCTTTTTTTGGCGCGCTATGCATGCTGGACACTTGCATGGACTCAAAAGACTCACGACTCATCACGCCGGTGACCTCTACTGTACCGTAGCTGCACTCGTGACTTCCAACACGGCGAAGTCTGCAGCAGCAGCAAGCTACACCTTCCTCATTGCTCACTCTTTGACTGGTGCACGCTCATCCCGCCCACCACTCAGATTCTCGCCACACCATCATCACCATCATCCGAAAGGCTGCATATGCGCCCGGTGTCGTCTGTTCCTTCCCCTTTTTGCAGGTCGAGCTCGCATGGCAAATCCTCCGAAACACTCCGGTCATCTGAACGCGACTCATTGACTCCGACGATTCCGAATCCATCACGAGAACCGAATCCCAGCCGTCGTGCTTCCATCGTCACTGACAGCAAGGCTCACTCGCATCATCCAACATTCTCCGTATCATGGCCGTCCATGCCTCATAGATCGACGACATTATTCAATCGAACGTTACAAGTTCGAGGCACCCTGCACCTCTCACTCGCACAATCCACACAAGCCAAAGGGCAGGCTTCTTGGCACTGAGCTCTCGCGTCGGTCCTCAGATGTATGCGGGCGCAACGAGCAGTGCGGGTCTGATCAGAAATGTCGGCGACAGCGCCTCTGTCGCCTCAGCACTCGCCTCACAGTCCTATGCTTAGCCTCTCGCCGCTCGGCGTGCATGCTAAATTGCCAACACCTCCTCACGCTACCCAAGCCCTCGAGGTCTTGTCATCCTCATTCAACTTTCCCGAGCCGCCCAGTCGATTATTCAGAGATGGGTTCGGCTCCGCTCGCTCTTCGCCCAGGACCAGTCGGGCGGGTAGTCCGCCGCCGCCGACGATGCGGAAGAAGAGGAGTCCGAGGAACAGCGCGAAGCGCTTGACGCAGGAGTCTGCAAAGGCTCGCCCCCCCATGCCTGATCTGCCCTCCCCTGCTCAAAACGACTTTCCAGCTTCGGCAATCTCGGCGCCCACCTCACCTGCCAACTCATCAGCACACCCCTCTTCGCAGCCTCTTGGCGTGTCAGGCAACCGCCCTAGCCACAGCAGCGCGCCTCCAGAGCAGTCCAGGTCAGCGCCAACCACGCAGCATCCACACGCGCACATACAGGCAGCCAATTCTTCCGATGTTTCCTCTGCGAGGCTTGAGCATGCGCTTGGGAATGCGGAATACGCGAGCGACGCAGGAGTCGTCGCGCAAGAAGCAGGAGGGCTGGGATTGCACATGGCAGAGGCGGTGGAGGCCGACGAAGGAGATGTGGAGCAACGTCTCTCCTTCCTGAGTGGAAGTGGCCAGAGGCAATCTGCCGTACCAGCTTCGCAGCGAGTGTCGAGCGGTTCAAGCATTTATTCGGATCAGCAAGAGTACCTGGCTCAAGAGGGGGATGAGACCGGCGATGGTAGCGCTGGCGGGCTCAGTCTGTCGAGTGACAGCGACTCGTACATGCCCGTGACGCCAGCTACGCCGGGTCATTCATTCAGCTCTTCCTTCTCGACCTCGTCCACTTGGCGACCGCGCGAGCTCACCCTGGCACGCGCGGATGCGCAAAGTGAACGAGAGCGCTCTTTGGCCGGTCTTGCTCTTAACCCGCGCTCCGCCTCGCCGATGATGTCCCCCTGGTCCTCTTCATCCACAATTGGTGTTCCGCGCGATAGACTTTCACCAGCGCCAGGAGCATCTTCACCATCTCATCTGCGAGGCGTAGCCGGCAGTTCTTCTGCAAACACGAGCCTCAGCAGCGGTGGTGGCCACAATAGCGGTGCTGCAGGCACTCGAGGCCTCATGCTCGCTTCAGCAGCGGCTCCTCCAAACTCCGCGCGGAATTTCCCACCTCTAGCCCTGGCACTTCCTACTTCGACAGGTGCTACTGCCACCGACGCTGCTCCGCCGCGATCTTCGCCGTTGGCACCCAGAAGCAGGTTTGTGAGCGCTCCTGGCGCAGCTCTGACCAGTCAGGCTCCGCTTCGAAGTCCACTTCCTGTGCTCTCGCGCGGACCGGCATTTCCGCCTGCTCGAGATGCGACTCTGGAAAGCATGGCTGCTGAGCGCGTGCCCAACGAGGATCTGGGAGCACTACAGGCCATGCTACCCCATCGACGGCTTCTGAGCGGGTCGAGCGCAAGGCTATTGAGCCCTGCGCTACACAGCGCGAGTGCGCAAGGCGTCATCAGTCCCATAGCTTCCAAGCCTAGCTGGGAGAAACCTTTTGGAGAAGCACGCAGCGCCAGCAGCGACTCGCAGTATGGGAACGAAGCGCGGCCAATGGATCCGGAGGCGTTTGTCGCTGCTATGCAGGCGGCCTCGGCCGCCGAAGTGGCGGCAGCTTTGGAAGCGAGGAAGCAGCTGCGAAGTACCGCGTCGGCGAGCCAGCTTGCAGAAGAGGTCAAATCGGCCCCTTCTGCGCGTCCGCAAATGCCAACGAGATCCCGATCGCAGTCCTTTTTGCGCTCCTCATCGATGACGCGTCGGAGAGCACCACCGCCTCCCCCACTGTTGCTCGCCACTGCCCCTTCGAATCCTGACATGGCCGGAGCAATCAGCAAGGACACGTCTGCGCCGACGACGAAAGATTCGACGCTCGACGCCGCCTCGAGCAGCGTGGTGCCTGACGACACTCTCGAAGCGGCGCAGGAAAGTCCAGAATTCGTCACTGCGCCTGGCATCTCCTCGTCCCCCAGCTTCGAGATGATTACCCATAGCGCAGGGGATCAGGATCAGGGCCAGAGTCGGAATCTTCTGGCACCCCTCAGCTTGCCCCTCGCTGGAAGCGCTTCTCCCATGAGCGCCGCATTCCACACCCCGCTTGCCAGCCCAGCCAATATGCCCTCGCCAGAATCCGAGTCTCGATCGCTGGATGATTCCTTGATGATGGCTGTCGTGGAGGCTCAGATCGACACTGCCATTGTGGACCCTCTTGCGGAAGCTGGGGACGATATCGCCATGCCCCAGACCTCGAGAGTGGAGGAGGAGCACATCACTGCGGATGCCCCGGACGAAGCCCTAGAGGTTTTGGTGGATTCGCCATTGCAGACACCCTCAAACGAGCTGACTGCTGATCCGAGAGCAGAGTCGCGCGAGAGTGCAAGGGCTTTGGGAGCTAGCAGCAGTCTGAGCGTGCGGCCTGGATCGTTGGAACAACCCAACACGGCTTACTTTGACTTTGATAGCGACAGCAGCGACGCGCCTGAAGGTATACGCGAGCCGATGATCTTCAGAAAGATGAAGACCAGGAGCACGGTCCAGGAGAGCGAGCCGGAGCCGGAGCCTGAGCGGGAGCAGATGCAGCGTTTGTCGGTGGCAGATGTCAGGTCGAGCTTGACCTCTGGGTCGGAAGCAGCGGACGCTGCGGAGAGCGCGTTGGGAGGGAGAGCGTTTAGCGAGGCGGAGGCTGCGTCTGCTCGTGAATCAACGGCGGGTCTGAGTCTGAGCGCAAAATCAGATGAAGCAGGTGAGTGTTCTGGTCTCATAATCTTGCCGATGGCCGCGACAAAGCGCTGATCGAGAGCGTCTTGGCACGCAGCTGGTGCAGCGCCGTTCGAATTTGACGATGCCGATGCAGAATCGGGAGATCACGAGAGTGTAGCCGTTATGCGCCGGTCCTCGTCTTGGGGTAATTTGGAGCCTTTTGAGGAGCGCAGAGTCTCGTCGCCCAACAGTTCGGTGCAGGGACGAACGTCGATACCGCCAACGATCAGCTTCAGGACTTCCATCTTCAAGCATCTCGACCCCAAAGGCGCTTCTGGACCGAAAGGGGCACCGGAGGCTCGGGCGGATATTTCTCCGTTTGACACTGACGGCGGCGATGAAGATCCGCTGGTGAAGGCATCTTCAAGACCAAGTGCGGCCGTCACGACGGAAGATGTGCTTGCTGATATGCTGTCAAGAAATCAAGAAGTTCGCATCTCTCACCGAGTCGAACCTTCGAAGCTTGCCAGATCGTCTTCGCAGGTCGCGCCCGCAGGACCACCGCCGTCCGAACCTTTGCCCGCGCCACCACCCGGAAGTTCATTGCGTCGCTCGAGCCGATCGGTCGGCAGAATGTCGCGCGCGGAGCGAACTAGTCTTGCCGCCACTTCGCAGCCGCAAGCGGAACCGACCAAAATGCCCCAGACTGCTCCTTCGCGTCCGAAGCGGCCCAGCGGCGTCGAGCTTGAACAACTCGATCTGCAGCCGAGCCCCATGCCAAACTTGGTGCCCAGCACAGAGCCACTGCCACAGGGCAGGTGGAAAGCTGATGCGCACCTTCCTTTGGCCTCAGGGGCAAGTCCCGAGAGACCTGTTCATGGAGCTGAAGGTAGGAGTCAACCTCTCAGATCACGCTCTCGTCCCAACCTCACGGTGCGCACAAATTCGGAAGCTGTGGAACAGGCCGAAAACCTGCAGGCCCGCCCACGGCCACCTGTCCCTAGGTCAAAGGCGAGCCTCGTACCAGAGGTGCCTAGCTTTGGCTACATGGGCCCTTCGACGCCTCTCGACTCGGCGATGATGTCGCCGACGAGCGGAGCCGCCGGGCCATTCAGCGCCTTCTCGAGCAGCTCATTTTCTGATCGGTCCACCTTTGAGCCAACGTCTAGCCGATGGAGCTCCGGTTCAGATTCCGAAGCAGAAGCGAGCAAGCTGGCTGCGCGGAAAGCTGCGGCAAAGAGCAAGAAGGCTGCAAAGGGCCCGCAGCTCACGAGTCGGACGAGCAGCTCGAGCTTGGGCCAAGGATCAATGGGTCCCCCTCCTACGCCGGTCAAAAAGTCTAGCTTCTTCTCTGGACTTGGTCTGCGCAAAAAGAGCCTGACAAATGCTGCAGCTGGCGCTGCTGGTGTTTCGCCTGCCAGCTCCGTCGGTGCACCATCGCCGAGAGTCATGGATGCCGCAAGCGAGTTCCCTTTCCCTGCCAGCACTGGACCTTCGCCCTCGGTGGCGGCCTCTGCTGAAGGTGCACGCACGAGCACAAGCTTGCACTCCCGAAATCGTGGAGGTTCCACCTCGTCCAGAGCGTCCAACACGACTAGCATTGGTCAGTCCTTGACGAATCGTCCGTCGTTGGCCAGTTTGCGATCGATCACCAGCTACGATCCCAGTCGACGTCCTTCTGTCAGTGCCGAGTCCTTTGCCAGCCCAGCAATCAGTGGTCCGCCTTCTCCCGCCCTGGAAGGAATGCCGCGAGGCTTCGATTCTGTCCATCGCCGTCCATCCAACACTGGACTCGGCATCGATATGAATGGCAGCTCATCGAATGGCCCTTCAGAGCCTTCTGTGCGCGCATCGCAAGGCCTCAGATCTGCCCGAGCTTCTTTGAACAGCTTGCGAGCATCCAGAGATCTGGCGGTCATCCGCGCTAGTGGCGAGAGCGACGAAGACCTCGCTGCTTCTGCCATGTCACCCAAAAGTACACGTCGGAGGTCCCAAACCATCGCTGCAGGTGATGGTAGGATGTCCAATCGCGCTTCGAGACAGACGCCCTTGTCGAGCATCGAATCTCCGTCTAAAACCGCTGAAGGAGGCAACAGGGTCAGGGAAACTGATGCGGCGACGGACGATCTTGACGACACGCCCCGCGTAGCCTACGCTTCTCTGCCCGGCTCGCGCAGGGAAAGCGTCACCAGCCCCTCTGTTGCGCGCGCGAACGCCAAGCGTTACTTCGAGACGGATCACGAGGCTCTGGACGCCTTGGGCTCACGATTGTATCAAGCGGGCGCAGGCGATGCAGAAAGTCAGACTGGGACTGCGCCCAACAGCCCAACGGTGCCGTCGCGCGTATCGTCCATTCGCCGACATGAACGAAGCGGCAGCAAGGGCAGGCAGAGCCCTAGCCCTTCTCTATTGCGTCACTCCCCCAGCGGCTCTTTGTTGCGCCACTCTCCAAGTCCAAGCTTGACTCGCAGCATCAGCGCATCATTGCTGCGCGCCATGAGTCCCGAGGTCCAGCCGTCTCCGCCACCCCGAACCACTTCCAAGCCGAAGAGGTTGATCGAGAAGTACAATGGCACCGCACTGCCTCATTATCCTTCGCTCACAGATTTAGGCCGAGCGTGGGTAGCGCAGCATCCAAATGAACCGTTGCAGGCGGCTAGTGGCCCGCGAATGATGGCACGGATATTGGATGGAGTTTCCAAGCGGCGCCAGCATGCTGGCTCGGGTAGCAAGACGCCATCGGACGCTAGCACCGATGACTATGGCTCAAGTGATGGCGGTGGTGCTGGAGATCACACGAATTCGATTCGCAGCAACGGCCACGGGTCTGCTCCTCAACGAGGAGGCGACCAGGCTGGAGGCGGTGGAGGAGACGATCCGGACGGTAGACGCAATCAGCAAAGTCGTGCGGATAGTCACGTTGACAATGCGAATGGCAGCGACGAGTCAGAGGATGAGAGCGATGACTATGGCTCACAAAGCGATGAGGATCTAGCGCTTGGCGATGCTTTGGGAGCCGGTCACATTTTGGGGAGCAGCAGCCAGAGCGCTGGCTCGAGCCGCTCGGAATCGTCGGATGACGTTCCGCTGGGAGACCGCGTGGGCAACGCTGCTGCACTTCAGAAGCGTCTTCAGGATCAAGAACGCAAAGCTCAGATTCAAGATGCTCGCAATGCTCTTGAACGAGGAGGTGTCAAGGCGACAAGCTCTGGAAAAGCTCGTCGTCCACGACGAGTCGCGCCAGTGCCAGAAAGAGCTCCTGATGCCGGACCGCTGAATGCGCTCGACTTGATCGGACGTCTACAGCGGGTGCAGATGCAGAGAGGCGGCGATCAAGCTACAGCAGCAAACGATCAGAATCTTGTAGCAAGCCAATCGATGCCTTCCAACGCTGCCCGAAGACCAGAAGCTCGCGAGGATCCGCACGGGCCTCAAGCACACCTCTTGGCACATCACGGTCTACCGGGACCTTCTCAAGCGCAACGTCGACCCTCGCCTAGACAACAAACGATGCCTTTGCCAGCGGTCTCCGCCCCTCATTTGCGTGGAGGTGCGACTCGAAATGGCAGCAGCGAGTCAGCGGGTCGACCTGCTCAGGCACGTCCCTCTCTTGGGTCCAGCGAGTCTCAACTACGCGCGATGATGATGGCAACGTCTCACCCGGCGCAATTCGATCCACAGCGGCGGCCCAGCCTGCATCCTTCTGATCAGCAGCAGCAGAGAGATTTCAGACCGCCCGTAGCGACGATGATGATGATGCCTTCTTCCGGCAGCTCTTCAGGGAACTCCAGTCCTCGCTTTCCACCGAACGACCATCAGCTGCAGCTATCCAGTAGGATGGCTGCTGTCATCGATCAAGGCCACAACTTTTCGGCCCCGTTGCCGCCATACGCTCGTCAGGGCACGTCACCGAGGCTCGGTGGATCTGCTCCTCTACGGCCCATGCACTCTGCTGGCGCGGCTGGCCAGCCTGAAGCCCGCGAAGATGCGGTTACACAAGCGAGAGCTCGCGCAAGGAGCGTGTCGAGAGCTAGGCCGCCGGCGACGGCCATAGACACTAGAGTTGCGCCTCCGATGCCAGTGCCGGCTCTGCTCGGCCGCGCTGTACCACCCCCCGCGCAAGAAGTCTCTCCACAGAAGCAAGCCATTCCGATTGGCGGCCCACTCAGCGCCTTGTCCCGCTCTTCCAACGAACCGCGCAGCTCGAGCGAGTCGCCTTCGACGGGGCTCGAGCGGGCGATCACTGCAGCTGTTCCCTCTACTGTCGCAACTGCGCACCTCGTGCAGCATCGCGTCTACATCAATACGCGCCAGCGCTTTGGGACTGCGCAGATCCTGCCCAACGCTCGCGCTCGAGATTTGATGTTGGACATTGTGGAGAAGGAGCATGTGCCGACAGAAGAGGCTGCCGGTGGCGGTGGCGGTTGGGTCATCTTTGACTGCTCGCCGACTCACAGTATTGGTGAGGTGCACAATGTCCTTTCACGCAAGCCTAAGCGAGATCTGATACCTCTGACCCTTTCGCGCGCCCTTTCAGAGAGACCTATGCGCGAATACGAATCGGTGGCTGAAGTCGTCGACTCGAGGCCTTCGCCAGACTGCTACTTTTTGTTGAAGCGCACAGAGCTAGCACCCTTTGCGAGCGTTCGTGCGGTGCCACCAAGCCTTCCCTTGTTGGCTGGCTACGTCTACGTCCAGGATCACAAGAAAAAGTGGACCAAGCGCTGGCTCGAGCTGCGCGAGCATTCGTTGTTCCATGCCAAGTCGGAAAAGGTGAGTCTTCTCGTTGATTGCGAGAGTGAGCGATTTGCTGACTTTCGCTTGCTTCTACACGCAGGGCAAGGACGAAGTGCTGATCTGCACGCTGAGCACGTTCGACGTCTATCTGGTCGACAGCGCCAAGTACAAGGCACCGAAAGCGCACACCTTTGCGGTCCGAAGCCAGAATCACATTTCGCAATTCGAAAAGCCAGAGCTGGACTATTGTCACTACTTTAGCCTTTCGGATCCACTGGCTCATCGGCATTGGTATCGAGCACTCTACACGAGCCGAAGCTATATGCTGAGGCAAGAGCGTCCGCAGCTCTTCTCGCCGCCGCCTCGGGCCGCGGCGCCATCTGCGCCTAGTCCAGCAACCAATACGACGAATGAGGGCCTGAAGGCAGCATCAGCGGCGGCGGCGGCGGCGACTACTCTCGGAGTGTCGCGCAACACGAGCATCAATGATCGTTCAGCATCCTCGGCGCAACGAAGAATACCTGCACGAGGAGCAACGACGGATGACCGCAGCCCATCTCACCGTCCTGAAGGCAGCATCAGTGGTCAGAGCGCAGCGTCCGCCTCCGCATCCGTATCAGCCGCAGCCGCAGCCGCAGCTGCAGCAGCGCCAGCTCCGCTCATCGGACGTGATGCATTGAGCACCGGTCCTTTTGAAAAGGGAAGCTTGCTAGCTGCGGCGGCGCAGAACCAAGCGCAGAGCGAACAGATCGATCTGAGCCTGCACGAACGCACCCGGGCTAGACAGGTCGAAGCTGCACGAAAGGCGGAGCTGGCTGAAAGGACGCGAAGAGCTAGAGCTGCTGGTCAACCGCTGATTGGCGTGCCCACCTCTCGGGCGACGTAGCCAGCGCTTCACGTTTCACGCCCCCAGCAGTCAACAGCACGCGGCACTTGCCCTCTCTTTTCTTCCGTTGCGATGCGTTGTTCCTAGTCACGAAGAGCCTTCTATTTAAAGGCGCACTGCCACTGCCCCTGTATGCAATTGAAATCCTGCATGTTGCTCATCTCTCTCCACCTCACATAATGACGCTTTCTCAAGATGCAAAATGCCTCTGAACCGCCCGTCCCCGAATCTTGTACCTCTAAGCTGCTGCTTCGCTCTCGAGCACACGCAAAGAAAGGCTCAGCTCATGAAGAAAGCTCTGAATGCGCTAGCGAAGGGTATGCTGATTTCATTGTGCCGATGCGATTGCGATGCGCTGCGGTGCGAAGCGAGAAACAATTCGATGTACGTTGTTTTGCCATGGGGGAGAAAGGGTCGTAAAGGTATCGTCTGCCTGAGCATCGACAAGAACCTGCGCAATGCTTCCTCGATGCCTCTCGCACGACGTCGAAGCGCGCAAAAGCAAGAAAAGTTAGCCCCACCGCTCCTTCTCCAACATTTGGGTGGAAATCGGGGCCGGGGCGAAACTTTTTGCTCCACGTCTGCATCTCTCTCTCGTGCCCACGTCTACGTTCCTGATGAGGCGAGCGATCGAGCGGGACTTGGCACCCTTTTCCCTTGCTGATCACGTTGAGCATCGCAGAGAAGGCGTTCACCCCGTCTCCCTGCTCCTCCGCAAGCGTTCGCCCACGTTGGCCAGGATTCGATTCGAACGAGCGGCATTGCGGTCCGCTTCTTTCTTTTTCTGATGCCCCGATCGGTTGAATGTTCCAAGTTCCACGTGACCGATGATGATGATGATGATGATGTTGTTGTTGTTGTTATGGTTGTTGCTCATCTCGGTCGCACTCGCAGAAGCAGAAGCGCCATCATCGAATTCTTCATCTTGCATTTCTCCCCATTGCCTATCCTTGCGTCATGCCTGCCTCGAGATGTCACAACGCTCGCCGCGGTACGTCCAATTTGCCGCCCATGGGTGTTCGTTTGACCGGACTGAGCGAACGAGCTTGGGCTCGCCTGACGGCGGGCGAAGGAGGTATGGTTCTCCTGCTCAGGCTCTTCTTTGGACTGCTCTCCAGCTCGGGCTCGTGCGCGTGCGCACGAGGAGCTGTAGCGGAGTTGAAGTTGGAATCGGAGTGGAAGATGGAGGGTGTGAAGGATGCTGCTTCGTGGCTGTCATGCATGGGTCTCGTAGAACTTGTTCGCATGCCGCGATCGCCTTGCGAAGCATGACTTGTCTGGCTCGTCGAAGAGGAGGACGGAGGACTTGCAGAAGGCCCAAGTTTCATCTTTGCATCTCCATCGTGCGCCTTCGTACCCTTCCTTTCGCTTCCAAGTCCTTTCACAGCATTCAATCTCACACGACTCTCTTTCGAGGGCGAAAGAGGCAGAGGCGCCAGCGCAAATTTCGCTTCCTTCTCCTCTTCCTTCTTCTCGGTGCTGCTACGATGCACACCGTCGACGCTCAAAGAAGCCATCAACTGATCCCTGATCAAGTCCATCTTCATCTTTTCCTGCTCTTGTCGACGTACCGACTGCATGCTGTGTCTCGTGCTCGAGGTGGTCGAGTCCCTACTGGCGTTACGTCTACGTCCACCTCTGCTAATTTCCGAAGAGGCCGGAGGAAATGTGCGAGAATTGGCCGCAGCGAGTCGCACCTCGGGCCCAGCAGCAGCAGCAGCAAACCTCCTTGGCGCAGCGCTACTCGAAGCGTAATCCCCTTCGCGTGGCGTCGCGTACCCTTCATCCTCTTCTTGTCCATTCTCTTCAGCCTCAGCCCCAGAAGAATCTCTGCGATTATCGCGTCGAACTGCTTCTCTAGCAGCACCTTCCATCGCACCTCGCCTACCAGGTGCGCATTCACCGGGGCCGCCGCCGCCGGGCTCCGAAGCAAAAGCTCTCCACCTCCTCTTCATCCTCTTCAGCTCCATCTCCGCTTCCTCCTCGATCGCTTTGCGATCCCTCAAACCCCATAGCAAATCCCTAGCCGCATCTCTTCTCAGTCTCGCAAACGTCCCTCCTCTCCTCACCTGCCCCTCCGATGCAGCCTCGACGGCGACGGAAGCGGATTTCGTAGTGGTGGTGGTGATGGATGATGTGGAGGGGGATGAAGGAAGAGAGATGCGCCGGATCGCATCGACTCCTCCCAAAGCTTCGAAATGCTTCGATGACTTCTTGCGCGTGAGCAAGAGCAGGGAGAGCAACTCGATCGCGTCTGCAGGAGCAGCGCCTATCAGATCCTTTTCCCCTTCCTCTTCCTCTTTGTCTTCCTTGTGCTTGTGCTTTACCCTCCTATCTTGTACCTGGGTACTTGTCCTTCCCGACCTCGATGCGTCATTCTCCTGCTCCTCCTCCGCGTCGTCGTACCAATACTCGGCAGAAGCGAGCACGAGTAGCAATTCGCACTCGTGCGAAGTTCCGCGTCCAGCAGGACAAATGAGAGCCAGTCCCTTGAGAAGAGCAAAGCAAGCCCCAGCTTCAGCCGACAATTGTTGCCTTTCCTCTTTTGCTGTCGATGGGGTCGTTGAGTGCGACCGAGGAGAGAAAGAGGAAGATGAGGAGGATGAGGAGGATGAGGAGGAAGATGAGGAGGAGATTTCGGAAGAGGAGAAGGAGACGCGACAAGCGGGACAGATGAGAGCGGAGAGAGCGGACAGGTGCGTCATGCGAAGATGAAGTTTGGAAAGGTTGTTTAGCAGGCATGGAGCCACTGCGATAGCATAGCGGATGGCGGCGAGGAGGAGAGCGTAAGCCATGCTCAGCCGGGAGTCAGTCGCGAGTTAGAGTCTGAGCAAGTCTTGCCCTTGTGTCGCGCACCCGCACGCGTACGCGCACATTCCCCTCGCTTGAACCAACACATCTGCGCCTCGCGGTGATCTGCTTTGAAATCAAATCGATGGACCAGACAAAGGCCAATCGTGACGCTACTCTTCTTCTTCTCCTGCTGGTGCACCTTCCCTCAGCCTTTCCCCCTTCTCGAACCTTACCCACCCCCCAACTCACCTCTGCTCCACACATTTCCACCTGCACCTCTTCTTCTCGCTCCTCTGATCCTGCTCCTAGCCATGCGCACCCCGAATCCTATTCCTTCATGCTCCCCTTGCCTCTCCCCCTCGCCCTCGCCCGCATCACGAGGCGCATTGAGGCTGCGATTCAATGCCAGCTCCAAATCGTACAGCGCTTCTGTCCTTTCCAACGAGTTGGAAGTTGGTGAAGCGATCTGTCACACACACGAAAAGAGAGCGCGCGCGGGCGGGGGCGGAAGGGCAGCTTTGATCAGTGCGTGCGTGGGCGGGGGGCGGGAATGCGAATGCGAGCGAGCGAGAGAGCGAGCGAGAGGTAAGGAGCATATACGCACAATGTCCAGTGCGGATAAGAGGTACTTGTTCCTCGATGACGATGACGATGACCGTGGCGATGACGATGACGATGACGATGACGATGACGATGACTCTCCATCCCCATCCCAATCCCAATCAGGGTCAGACGCATCGTCCGACTCTAGACGCCTTCTTCCCCCAGACCTCGCAGAGCGCAAGGTATGGAGCAGGTGGGACATGGATGCTCTTCTTCTTGGTTGTAGAGGGAATGCGCAAGAGAAAGAAGACTTTTTGCCAATTTTGTTCGTACCCAGCTGGCTGGCTGGCTGGCTGGCTGGCTGCTTGCTGCCCCCCCTTTTTGAAAAAGAGGCACAGAGAATTGTCTGAAGGAGTAGAATGGCAGTGGGCGAGTGTGGGGTGTGGGGAGTGCGGAGTGGGGAGTGCGGAGTGAGTGGAGAGTGGAGATGATGATGTGCGCGCTTCCAACCTGACCATCGAGGGCAGGCAGGGCAGACAGGCAGACAAGGAAGGCAGACATGCAGACAAAGGCAGAGGCATATACGCAGCCATGCATGCACGCGCGAGCAGCCATGCAGGTGTTGCTCTCCTTTCCATCACGCGCGCGGTTGTCACCGTTACGGTAAACGGTCGCGCGCGCGCGACGTGCGCGTGTGCGTGCGTGCGTGCGCGAAGCAAAAGGCAAAAAAAGGTGCGCAATCACGTGAGTGAGAGCAGTCAAGTCAACCAGCAACAACGTGAACGCTTCTTTCCTCCACCCAGCTGCTGCATGCTGCTTGCTGCACACTCACGACTCGCTCTTCGACTCACACTCGACTGTTGCAAGAACAGCGAACAGCGAACAGCCTGACCAATCCATCTGGCTTTGCATTCGAGATTGCCTCGCTCACGCTCACACTCACGCTCACGCTCACGCTCACGCCCACGCCCACGCCCACACCCACGCCCACGCCCACACTCACACTCACACTCACGCTCACGCCCACGCCCACGCTCACACTCACACTCACACTCACACTCACACTCACGCCCACGCCCACGCTCACACTCACACTCACGCCCACGCACACTCCCCTCCTCAAAAGCATGTCCTTCGTCCGACTAGGTACTCCCCTCTCCCTCAAGCCCTCTTCCTCATCATCCGGCACCGCCAGCAGCAGCAGCACAGCCTACAAACCAGCTTGGGAACAAGAAGTGCTGGATGAGCAAGGAAGACGTCGTTTCCACGGCGCTTTCACCGGTGGTTATTCGGCCGGATACTTTAATACCGTGGGATCCAAAGAAGGATGGGTGCCCAGTTCCTTCATCTCCAGACGTCGCTCGCACAGACGGGATGATAATGATGCGGAGCATGATGATGATGATGATGATGATGGAGCAGCAGCAGCAGCAGGATCAGCAGCAGCAGGATCAGATAAGAGGAGAAGGTTGAATGCGCAGAGTCGAGGTGCAGCAGCAGCAGCAGCAGCAGCAGCAGCAGGTGCAAATGGAAGAGCAGGAGCAGGAGCAGTGCAGAGGGTGGAGGATTTCATGGATGAGGAGGATAGGCAATCGATGAGCCTTGGCGTAGCTGCGCTCCAAACGCAGCGTCGGGACGCGTATCGGTATGATCCCCTGTTGGGCGCACTGGGAGGTCCTGTTTCTACTCCCTCCCATGCTCCTTCTCATCAAACTGGCATGGCAGAGCAGGCAGAGTGAGTTCAGGTCATTTGCGGGGCATGGGGGGTGTGGCGTGTATGCGGCCGGCGTGCCCCATCTCGTATGCAAGCCCCCGCATCCTTGCTCCGCATCCATCCTGATCGCGCTGGCGCTGAAGTGCGCCCCCCCCCCCCACCCCTCTTCCTCGCGAACACGCCCATGGCCTCTCAGTCCAATCTCTGTCCGCACATTTTCCAAAGGTCAAGAGCTTTTGGAACGTATGGGCTGGAAACGCGGAACAGGTCTAGGTCCTCGCATCTCCCTTTCCCGCTACCTCGAGCTTCTTCGTCTATCATCATCACCATCTTCAGCAGCATCAAAAGACGCCGCCGCCGCAGATGCCGTCGCACTGCTTTCCAAAGGCGAAGAGGAATCTATAAAGAAGCATGGAGCGCTACCTCCCGATATGCCATTGGTCACGCCTGAGAGCCAGAGGGGCGGTGCGAGCGTGGATAGAATGGACAGAAAAGTGGGCTTGGGATACGATGACGGGAGAGCTGGGGGTGCGGGTGCGGGTGCGGGTGGGGGTGCGGGTGTTGCCGGCCCGAGTCGAGCAAGAGACATGCAAGAAGCTTTGCGTCTAGCTCGACAAGAACAGGCGCAATCTGGGATAAGGGGGGCATTCGGAGTTGGAGCGTTGGAGGATGAAGAGGGAGATGAGGGGGAAGCGTACGCTTCGGGCATGGACCTGCTTCGACAACGTGTGGATTTCGAGAAATGGGAAGCTGGCTTGAGAGGTGCCAAATCGGCAAATGGAGAGCTTGCCATGCGTGAGGGACTCAAACGTGGAGACGAATCACGTGCAGAGCGTGCAGATCAGTCGAACAAGCAGGAGTCGAGACGCGGCAAGTTAGGAGAGGATGAGAGGGATGAGAGGAGATGGCAAGATGGACGGGTCTTGCCCAAAGGATTTCTGGTGGGCGATAAGTTGGGCGGCGAGGAAGAAGAATGGTGAGCGTTGAGGTCAGCTGTGCAGGTCGAGGAAGCGGTCGTTTCTGAACCTCGTCATTTTCGCCACCCACCTTTGTTTCGAGGACAGGTACGCGCCGCCGGAAGTGCCGCCCGGCTGGACACCTGATCCCCAGTCTGTCTGGGGTGCGGAGAAGGAGAAGGACGGGCCTCAGGGATCGGCATCTGCGTCAGCTTTGCAAGCTCGGGACGTGAGTGGGCCAGTCGCGGTGTTGTTTGCGCTCTCAAAGTTGAGGAATTGACAGTTGTTGCTGATGCCTGCTAGCGCGCAAAGATGCTGGGAGAAGCCCCGATGCCTGGACCACCGCCTAGCATCCTGAATTATCTCTCTGCCAAGGACAGGGAAAGGCTAGAGGCGTCCAAAGCTACCGCGCAGGGGCGCAATGCCACCGCAAATGCTGGCGCGCCTTCAGCTGTCAAAGTGGACGTACCGCGCACCGAACAGGGTGTTGCCCTGGCGGCTCTGAAAGGAGGCTACCAGCCATTTCCGGAAGACTTGCAGAAGCAACAACGCTACGAACGATACTTGCAAGCGCAAGCTGGGGTGGACGTGGAAGGAGAAAGTGCGCACGGCGATACCATCGCTTCTACATGTCTCGCCGCCCACGCGGGCCATGCGGAGCAGGCGAATCAGGAACTGCGAGAGTTTCAAAAGAGCGCCAACATCTTCAGACCTATGAGCAGCGCCATGTCTTCGCGATTCATTGGTAGCAGCAGCAGCAGCTCCTTGAGCGGCCCTTCTGCACAAAGATCAGTAGATGCAGCGCAAGCTGGGGATGTGCAACCTCTTCGACCGGGTCTTTATCAGCCTACGCCCAAATCCGCTTCGGAGCGCGCAAAGAAAGATGCCAGATTACCTGCTCCTTCTGCAGACTCGGGCTCGGGCTCGCAGTCGGACACTGCAGACTCGGGCTCGTCGACCTTGACGCCAGCGCAACAGGCAGCAAAGAAGCGCATGTTCGGTGCGCTCACGCGCAGGACGCGCAAGTGGAAGGTGGAGAGGTTACTGTGCAAGAGGTTGGGCGTACCCGCTCCTGGCCATGTCGAGGAAGATGAGGAGGAGGAGGAGGCGGAGGATGTGGCGGTGAAAAAGCATGCGAAGACCACGGATTCGGGCTCTACGTGGCATGCTCACAAGGCGAGCATCGAAGCGCTAGCTCGCGCTCGAGCTTGGGAATCCTCCGCCGGCGCCAGCGCCGGCTCCTCTGATGCCTCGAAGCGAGGAGATTCCGGCGCTGCGGCGGAGGAGCAAAAGGAGGCCAAGGACGACGATTTGAATACGGTAGGCGTGGGAGAGGATCAGAGGCAGATGAAAGAGCTGGACTTTGTCAGACCTGCCTTGGACATTTTTAAAGCCGTCTTTGCTTCCGACGAGTCGGACGAGGAGGAGGAGGAGGAGGAGGAGGAGAGGAAAGGTGCGAGGGATAAGCTTCTCGTCGATGCTAGGTCCAGCAGCGGTTCCAAGGCGGCAGCAAGCGGAAGGGACGAGGAGGAGATGGCTAGAGGAGAATCTTTGGCGGAACACAGCGACGGACCTCTTGCTCCTACCTCTTCCAGCATTGCAGGCGATATCGCAAAGACGACGATAAGAGCATCGCTCTCGTCCGCTCCCGGCAAGGTGCTTTTCAGACGACCACCACCTGCTGCTGAGGGGCAAAAGGAGGAGAAGAAAACGAAGAGGAAGGAGAGGGGGGGAAAGAAGGAGAGGGCAAAGGGAATGCTGCTGACTTTTGATCTGGACGAGGAATGAGCGCCGATTGGACAGAGTGCGGCAGGGGAGGGGGGAAGACGTGCGGGCTCGACATGGTACTTC